CAGCAGGCCGACAGTGTCCGCTACCTGAACGAACTAAATTCGGTGAGCTGAAGAACGTAAAGTGCGTGCTGCTACTGACAACTTCAGTGGCTGGACGCGTTTGTCAGCAAAGGCACCATCCAAATACAAGCTGTCGCAACTGGCGTTGAACAAATTTGTAAACAACTAGGCATCAGCACATCCGAGGAGCTTTCAAGCACCAACCTGAGAGGACAGGTGCAACAACTACTAGAGGCGGCGCGGAGTCAAGTGCACAATGAAGATGACTTACGATCGACAGTCCACGAGTTGATCCAGGTTGTTCAAGAACATCTTACTCATGGAGATGAGCAACGCAGAGTACTTGGTTTGTTTGTCGGGTCGTCTTCTTTGCAGCGTCAGTGATTGAATGACGATATATCTTAGTGACGGACTCGGTGATGGAAATCATCAATCGCCAAAGAGCAGACCAGGAGCAAATGCTGCGAGTGTTGTCGAGTGGTAAGTGTGTTTCTTTACTCGAAAAAAATTGTCTGACACATGCAGAACTGACGGAGGAGATCCGAGGGGAACGACTACGATTCGTGGAAGCGATGAAAGAGGCCACAGCAATTAATGTGCAAGGCGCGTTTGCCCTTTGTCCTTACAGACGTTCATTGACGGTGTTCTGACGAGCAGCTCACGTTGAACATTTCAAGGCTGAGTTGGGCCGTGAAGTCGCAGTAATGACACAAGATGTTGGGAGGCTGCACAAAGAGAAGCAAGCGATCGAACAGCAAATTGCGGACCTATTCGCATTCTACTCCAAGCAAAAGCAGGAATCCGAGGTGTGTCCCATCGATCTCCTTTTGGCTTGATAATTTTTTGTTTCTGGAATTGCAGGCCCCCAATCGGCGTGTACTTCCAAGGTCTTTAGGTCATATAAATGTTCAGAATATAGCTGCCTCGGAATTACCGCAACGACGTCCGTTACCCACCCCTGAAAACCGCGGTGTCGATGATCAGAGGTTTCAGAGGCGAGATCCTCGGACTAGAATCAGAGCTGAGTAACTGGGCCATTAAGATGGATATGGGAGTAGAGAATAGCGATCTATGTGGAGACATGCGGATATGCCAATATAAATTAAGCCCCATCTGCATATGCACCGCCGAAACGATTATCAGATCACGGCCGTGCACGCGAGAGAGCGATAAACGATGGGACCTCGTCCCAGCCCATTCTTTCCCGCTCCTTTCCCAGGGCTCTGCCCCTGCGAATTTCCTCAGCGTCAATGACTTTCCAGTCATCATATTGGGTAACCATGCCGTCCTTGATTCCATGGACAATCTCTGATGGTAATGCATCAAGGTCTGGATGGTGATTTAGCAGTTCATCTGGGGCTATCTCCATTTCTGGTGGAGGTGGTACGGCAGTTATTACCGCTTTTGATGACGGTACTATGTCAGAGAGGATAGTGCTTGCGACCGCATATGCATCAATCATAGTCGACGCAATCACACCCTTAGCACCGTTGGCTGCCCATCCAGAAGCATATATATTTTTCAAGGCTGAACCCTTGGAACAAGCAATACGCCCTCCATATGCACGAAGATGACGCAGAGCAGGATCAAAGAAAGTCGTCTCTGGATCTGCATGAAATCCGAGGGAGGTGACGACGAGAGAAGTAGGAAGAGTCGATGACTCGCCAGTAGGCACTGCTCGGCAAGTGGCAGGATCAAGACGGGTGTGAGCAAGGGTAAGAGTCGCCATATCTAACGCTGAAGCACTTGACGGAGGGGTGATACTAGCAGGAGAGCGGTAAAAATGGAGAGACCAGGATTTGGGCGTTGATCCTGGTGGATTCTTGGATCCCTTCTGGAGTAGTTCGAGTGTGCGCCGCTGCTGGCGTGTCAATGTGACACCTGATGGGGGTATAAGCAAATTGGGTTCGATGGGAATCATCGATGCCTCTGGGAGATTGATCATTTCCCGAAGCTCTTTAGTGGTGAATGCAGCCTCCAGAGGTCCCCGCCTGCCGACTATGGAGACATGCTTGATGGTAGAGCGGGAGAGAACTTCTAGAACATGCTCTGGTACGTCATATTGACGAAGTACAGAGGGGGAAGTCAGAAGAATACGTGCAATGTCCAGTGACACGTTTCCCTGTCCAATTATTGTGAGGTGTGATATCTTGTCAAGCGCGGGTGGTGGTGGTCGGGATGGGTGTTGTGTATACCAATGAACCAGGGACAATGCAGATATGCAGCAAACAGACGGAGGGATTGCGGGGTGCAACGTGGGCATGGTACATCCAGTCGCAAACAGTAAGTGGGAGTAGTTGTTGAGTATGGAAGTCAGGGGTAAATGAAGCGCGTGAGGAATAGAATGGAGGGGCGTGCTGCCGACATTCACGTTTCCGAAGAAATGGAAACGCGGGTCGGTTGCAGTCGTATCGAATTTGTTCGTGCAATTCTAAGAGTCTCCTCAGTGATTCGTGAGACATGAATAAATTCAAAGCTCACCTTGACCTCTGGATGATCTGGTGCAACGCCATAGCGGACAAGACCATGAGGTGCCCACAGTCGATCGTACATATGCACTCTTAGTGGTGGAGACATTGGATCGTTGAGTGGAAGGAGAGAGAGCAGGCGAGAGGCTACATAAAATGCAGATGGCCCTCCGCCGATTATGGCTAATTTCACCGGAGGCGGCATGGTTCAAAGGACCAGGATGTGTGCCGAGCAAGTAGCAACTCGCGAGCCTGAAAGAAAAAGGTGATGAGCGTTTGATGAACGCGAGTGTGAATGCCTCGGATGCCGACCGCCGTGACCGACGCGGCCGCCACTGGCAGTTGAGTCTGAGTAGGACTTCTTGACTCATCAATCAAAATTCATGCAGGCGTCACTCAGTGTTGCCGCTCTCAAACGTTTGCTCCAACCTTAATATTGCATTTTACAGAGCTCACTCGGTTCCAGCGTTCATTCGGGCACTGACATGTCTGTCGAGATATGGCGACGATGTTGTCATTTCTGCAAACCCAGAACACTTCTCTCTGAGCGCGACTAATTCTTCACTCTCTGCATACTGTTGCTTCAAGTATGGGCGCAGGTTCTTTTCCAGGTATAAATTCAGAGATGGAGTGGCACAGGACAGTGTCCAGGATGTGAAAGGACAGTTGCTCGCTAAGGTATGTCTACTTTCAAGTTGTTGCTCAACCGTGTTCCATGACAAACTATTTGGAAACGTAGACGTTTCTTTCCATTATTAAACATAGAACTATCGAGAAGACATTGGAACGTTGCGAATTCATAATCGTTGAAGCAACGGATCTATGCGACCAGAATGAGCCAGCCGAGGACCAGGACACATTAGAGAGCAGATTGATAATTCGATTACACTGTAAACATGGTATGCACGAAACCCACTCCACGCACACAGACATGTGAAAGTCTCCGCAGGCATCGTAAAGACTCACCGACTGCCTCTCTTGATCCCTACATCATTGCTTTTACCGGGTACCTCAGATCCTTCGACTGAATCCCGTCTTACAATAGGTCCACGTGCAATCAAAGACATAACAGAGCATTTCCCGAACGCTCGAGGAGCGAAAAGTGATCCTCAACTTATATGGACCTTTGGAGACACGGAGGTTGAGGTTAAGAGCCTCGAGTCTTCTATTGATACTAGAGGTGGGAATGCCTAATTCAGACGGTGGATTGTTCATACTTATCTCTCCCCCAAACCAGGTAAAGCCCAATTATCAACAGAGCTGACAATCAGCGCAGATGAGTTTGATGTCTATGACGTCTACGCAACCCCAACTACTATCTCTTTTCACTTGCGAGAGTTCAATGTGTGTCACCACAATTATTTTCTACTTCCTACAGTCTCTGACTTCTCTTATCTGATAGGCCACAATTGCTTTCACGGAATCCATGGGTCTCTGCCTAGATCTTCGCTTCACGGATTCTGCAGCCCCGCTCTTCATCGACGTCGAAAGCGAAGAGTCAGAATGTCATTTTGTCATATCCACCTCACAACACGGCAGTTTAGCTGCACCCCCACCCTCAAACTCTGCTCAACTCAACACGCGTAAACGTCCTTCTCCAAGCGATGATGGCAGAGGCAGTTCAAGACAGCGAAGCGAAACACCAAGGATCAAGAAACCGATGAAAGCCGTGCAGCGTATGGATGCGCCTATACCTGATGCAACTTCTACATCAAAAGCCCAAAACGATGCGCGATCAATGCCGCCACCATCTTATATTCCTCAGCACACGCCGGACTCTCCACGAAATCAGATGCCGCCTCTTCCCTCGCCGTCTTGGAATCTTCCGCTAGATCCATCCCATGGAGTTACGGCGCAACCCGAGCCTCTTTTCTACCCTCAGTCCTCTCAATTATTATCGGATGGGCCAAGCGAGAGCCCTGAAGTGGGTCGAGCTAAAGCACAGGATCGAACTCCGTTATTTTATCCCCTTTCACAACTTTCTCAGGCAGATAAGGAGGTAATACGCGCATCTGGGTTAGGTATTGAGGACATGAACCAGGATGAATTAGAGGCAATGCTCGAAGGAGAGGGCGAAGAAGTTGGCTTTGAGTTCGCCGCGTCTCAGAGTCTCACCAACGTGGAAGATGAAGATTCGGCTATGCTTTCTGCGAATGATGAGCCCGAAAGCTTCGAACTCGTTGAAGACATTGGCACTGTACTTGGGCCAACGCAGGACGACGTCGGAGGCAGGAAGAAGGTATGTGTTGTCATCCTATGGACGGCTGAGTGCTAACCCATTGTCTACCTCAGGCGTTTCAGCCTTTGTTTGAAGATTGATTTGGACACATAACATGTCAGGATGTTGCTCATCTTCTCTTGTTGTGTGTACTACTTATGACAACCACTGTAGCGGGAGAGTGTTGTGTAGAAAATAAATGTCAATATTAATGTCATACTGTCTGTCGTTTCATGCATGGAAGTGACTTCTTCTAAGTTATTGGTTACTGGGTCTAATGCTTTTTATATATCCTTGTTTATTATACTTTGGAGCTGAACCCTATGATGGACATTACTATATGGGAAAGTTCGCAGCGCTGACGTGCACTGACCGGCAGAACAAGTACGGTGCACTTACGTAACCGATAAGGTAGGCCGAACCTCACCCGAACCGAACGTAATTGCGAAAAGTTTTATGTAGCCTTGCTGCCCGAGCCCGATCACGATGCTACCACTGGACCCATCAACATGCACATCATCCTGAAGTTCCGTGGTTCACCTGGGTGGCATAACTCACGTTCCTTCCTTCGCTCTCAAAAGTCGTTCGTTCGTCATAATAATACTGATCTGCACAAGCGCCTGGCCTCATCCGGCGCGCCCCAGCATCCTCGGGGAAGGTCTTGGCTTTGGTATCCGGCAACTCTTTTAGCGCTCACAGGTGTAGGGTACTATGCATATGAGAATCACCAGCCTTCCCGACATGCCGTATTGGCAACTATACGGTGCTCACGACTTGCGCGTAAGTTTTTGCGGCGACAAATTGATGACTTAAAACACTCACTAATAACGCGTAGGGGCTGCAATATCTGGAGCAATTGATTACAAGCGTACTCTTGCAGACACCTATACTTCTGAGGAAGACAGGCTTGAAGCAGTCTCACAATGCCATGTTCGGAGCGCTACAAAGGTGCTGAATGCTCTGTTGGCCAATGGAGGTTTGTTCCAATACGCTGATTGCGTAATGAACCTCATAGCTGAAATAATAATTTTCAACAACCAGGCATCTATATTAAATTGGGCCAACATATTGCATCAATGTACGTTCTTATTTACGTCGATATAGCTTGCAAACTCTAATCGTTTGAGAAAAGGATTGTACTACCAATAGAATGGACCAGCACCATGGCCCCGCTTCAAGACAGGTGCGATGCCACCCCATATGAGGGTATTGCAGCACTATTCCTATCAGATATGGGACAGCCCATAAGCGAGCTTTTCGACGATTTCGACCCGGTTCCTATTGGTGTTGCAAGTTTGGCTCAGGTTCATGTAGGGTATCACAAGGCATCAGGCAAAAAGGTTGCAGTGAAGGTGCGTACCGAAAGGTTGTCCTGGTTTGAGGCATTTATCTTGGTTAAAGGTTCAACATCCTCACCTGGTTGAATTCTTCAACATTGACATCAATATGGTCCAGTCTACTTTGGGTACGAGTGTTTGTTCTCTAGAGCCTAGCACCACTAACAGTTTGCTATAGGCTGGATCAAGTATTGGTTCCCAGAATTTGAATTTAGCTGGTTAGGTGAGGACATGCGGGAGAACCTCCCGAAAGAAATGGATTTTGTGCACGAAGCCCGCAATACAGCTCGTGCGGTGGCTGACTTTGAAAATATCAAGACGTCATTATACATACCCGAGGTCATATCTGCGAACAAACGAGTTCTCATCATGGAGTACATTCAAGGAAGCCGCATAGACGACCTTGCATACCTTTCAAAGCATAACATTGACAGGAACAAAGTCGCGCTAGAGCTTACGCGAATCTTCAATCGAATGGTATTTATGAACGGGTGGTTCCATGCGGTGAGGTAATTTACAAAGATTTGGGCTAGGTCTGACTGGGTTTTCTACAGGATCCTCACCCTGGTAAATGAGTTTCTTTCTATACATTTAGTTTGACTGATGTGGTGCAGGTAACTTGTTGATACGTCCTGCTTCTAAGTCATCCAAGTCGCCTTATAACTTTGAGATCGCACTCTTGGACCACGGACTGTACTTTGATCTTAACCGGGAACTTCGCGTGAACTACAGCAGGTTGTGGTTATCACTCATTGCTCGCTCGTCGCCGACTGTCGATGCTGACCGTCGGAAGTATGCGGCATTGATTGCGAACATCACACCTGATTTGGTACGTGATTGTTTCTTTGGTGGAGCGAACATGTCACAATGTATTATCAAACAGTATCCTGTTTTCGAGGCAGCAATTACTGGCAAGTCCCTACGCTGGCAGATGCTCCTCTATTGACTGTATTTATTAGGCCGACTGGCACCCGATGGTATAATTGAAGCAGATGACGGACCTAAGAGCGACATTCAGCGAGCCACAGGCATGCTCGACATGGCTTCCCAGACTGGGGAGGAAATGGAACTCATTCGCAATACTGCTCCCCAAGGGAACATGTTGGTATCCGTGCTCGATGTCCTGCGCCGATTGCCTAGGCGCGTGGTGATGGTCATGAAGCTCAATGACCTGGCCAGGTAGGTTCTATTAAATTCTCAAAAATTACCACCAATTGATCGCTACCGCAGGCACTTGGATCATTCACTGGCAACGACTCATTCGAGCGTTGGTATTATTCTTCACTTCGTGGCTTAATCTCAATGCGGACATCAATAGGTCAGGATATTCCTCGTCACGTCAAAGTACTGCATGAAGGCAGTTTGGCAAGATGAGAAGAACCGCTTCCGCGAGGGTGGACTCGGATTTGGATCCTTCTTAGGCAGTGCTTGGTGCGTTGAATACTCTGCTTTGACCACGCACTTGATCACACCCACCTGCAGGGCATTCGCAACTGGGTACTCCAAACTCACATTCATTGAATTTATGATGGATTGGCAAGCTTCATTGGTCAAGTCGAGTGCATGGTTACGTGGGTTTTATTCCAGAGGATTAGCTGGAGCGCACGATGCGGCAGCTGGTCTTTACTAGTTAAATTTTATGATACATATGCGATTAGAAGGTCGTTACGGATAGAGTTTTAGATATAATTTTATTTCTGGCTATTATCAAAGAAAGAGTCGATTATGTTGATGCTCTTTTTCAGACAAGCCCACTGCGAGGTATTACTTGGGACACCTCAAACCTGCAATCGGTGGACTTACCTGATCTGCATTCAAGCAAATGCCTTTCTTTCCTGGCTTTTCGTCCTCCTTGTCCTTACCGTAAAATTCACGAATGTCAACAAGAATCTTGCCTGCTTTTCATCAGCAACATCGTTGTATGTAACGCACATTGTTGAGGTTCACCTTTGAACTCACGGACAGTTACGCGTTTCTTTTGGCCCAACTTAACATATTTTTCACCTTCGGAACTACTAAAGACCTCCACATCGTTATCATGAGTCGACTTTTTCTTCGAACCTGATGGAGACTGAGTGGCAAAATCAGGGGTTTAAGCACAACGATCGTAAAAAAAAAAATGCGCACCTGGCAGTCTGAAGAACCAATTTTTGGCTTCTTGATCGTCAAAGGCTGCTCAGTTGCCTTTGAAGCCTGTTTGGTCTTCGTTGAAATCGTTGATGAGCCTGACAACACAAACACGATCGCATACTTGGCTTGCCTTGGTTTTAGTTTTTGGCTGGTCGTCCTCAGAGTGCTCATAGTCTTTATCTTCGTCGTCGCTGGGGTGCTTTCGCTTAGACATGAACGTGTTAGACGGTGTTCAAGTGTTAGATATGTAGGAACGTTCGGAAATATTCTGCTTAACTTGCCAGAACGCGTTGTTAAACTTATTAACAAGGATGTGGCTGAAGACGCGTTCGTGGGAAACACCTTCCTGGTATATTGCTGGACATGTTAGCATCGTCAACTCCCCTCCATTTAGTTTCCTACCTTCTACAGTCGAGCCTTTTAATTCAGAACTGAAACCTCAATTTTATCTTCCCGCATTCGCTGCGGATCAATGAAGATATTTCAGAAATCAAAGAGAGCGGTCTCTCCGGTTAGTAGTCTTGATCTTATTCTCATGCGAAACAATTGGCATCTGACTAGGTCATGGCGTTTTCAGCACCCTCAAGTAGCAGAGCTCGTCACAAAGCTCGTCAACACCCCAAACGATGATCTAGCAGACGTTTTGGCTGATATTGACTCCTGGAAGTGGCCGCGATCTGATCTCAACGCTTGGACTAAGGTCCTCGATAAGTTTGATGTCATCCTAGAGGAAGCCATCCGGGATTACGATGTGGATGAGTTGCAGATAAACGTGTTCACTCCAGCGACGAAGAAAACCATTAGCCATATTCTTAGGTTTGAGAGGCTTCTGTTAGAGAACTCCACCAATCGCAAAACCTTCAACTCCTATGATGTACGTCCTTTTCGTTCAATCATCGACCTCTGTCTAATCATTGTTGTAATGCACTCGATTTCAGAGGCTCAATTCCCTACTGTTAACATCAGATCTCGACGTGCTGACGCTAGCACTAAGCCTTCTCCTTCGCCCCGCACAACAATACTCCGCTCAGCCCGCGGTATCAACAGCCCTTAGCATCTCCACACCCCGTTTGCTCTCCCTTTCCAAGCGGTGGCCTCATATCCATGAACATGGCATAAGCTTGCTGGATCTTGTCAGTGCAAACGGTCTATCGCAGGTCGATGTACTACCTGCCGAAGCTCGTGAAGTGAGTTTCGTTTGTTACCGAACTGACCAGAAGGAGAAGGGACATGGGAAGGAAACCGATCATAGTGAATTCATATCATCCAGCCCTCGCAAACTCTCTGTTCCACCATCGACTTCGCACTCATACGCGTCTACTATTCATATTGACGAAGAGACCCTGAAGAACAAGGCAGTCATGGAGATCATGGCGGATGTATTGGAGACGCATCCGCTGAATAACGACGACAAGTTTGAACTCCTTTGTCGCGTTCGATCTGCCAAGGCACTTGTCAGCGGCAACGAAATCATGAGGGAGGAGCTTGTCGTCATACGATTAATTTGTATCGCCATCTATGGCCATACGCACAACGAGACTCAAGCATCATCAACGCTTTTCCTATATGAGCCGGATCTTACTACTCATATCGCTGAACTGCTCCAGTTGGATCGTGGGGTTTCGGTACCTGTACAGACAGCGGCTATCTCAGCACTGGACTCGATCGCTAGGTACCGAGGAAGAATGACCGAGGTGTTGGGCGCTGTCAATGCTGCTGTCAACCATGGAATTATCATGACGCTTCTGCGAAAGACTATCTTGGAGGTTAGCAGTCCGGAGAGCAGAATTCCAGCTATCTTCGTCGAGTCTCTTCTTTCATTTGTGACGTACCTTGCGCAGCATGTCAACGGGGGAAATATGCTTGTTAGTGCAGGCCTAGTTCCCTTGCTGGTTCAGATCATGGAGAATAGGTTGGCTCAGAGACTTCAGATGGTCTCGAAGGCTATGCAATTGGTGGATAACATCCTCTACGCTTTCTCAAATGCGTTCCAAGTGTTTTCAAACTCCCGCGGGGTCGAAGTCTTGGTAGCCAGGATCCAAGTAAGTATAGGATGGATCACCCTTCAACTAATCTTTTCACTCATCAAAATCTGACCAGCACGAGGTCGACTTTGATATCACGATGTATGGCGACGAGCGCTCCAGGGACTTATTTGGTTCGTACGGTGAGTAACTGTTGTAAGTCAAGAGTAGACCAAAGTGCGATGATAGCCGCAGGACAACTTCCGGTTCCAAGGGCTGCCGTGCTCAAACACACTTTGCGCTCCATACATCGGATGATGCAGTCGACCGGTACATCTGAAGGGCTACGCGGCCTCATTGATTCCACTCTGCCACAATCGATCAAGAAGATCATGGAGTATCGTGGCTTGTTTGGTCCCAATCTTCTGCCTCTTGGTGAGTACCTTGTATATCATGTAGATTTGTTTGATTGATTTATGGCGATGAAAGCCATGAACATAATGGCAACATTTATTCATAATGAGCCGACGTCGCTTGCGACGATTCAAGAAGCAGGCTTGCCTCAGGTGTTCTATAAGGTGATCGAAGCAGGTTTGGAACCTGTCATTGAAGTACGTACTATTTTTCTACCATTTACACTAACTTACGCCTTCCTTCAGCTCATTCAAGCCATTCCCAATGCAATTGGGGCGCTCTGCCTCAATCAGGTCGGTCAGGATCAGCTTACAACTCGCCCAAGTGTCATACCTGGCATTATATCGATCTTCACTTCCGAGAGCCATATCAAGGTCCTACGTGAAAAGGAAAACGCCGTACTCATGGGCACCGCCATTGACGAGTTGATCCGCCACCATCCAGCGCTCAAAACTCCTATTTTTGATGCTGTCAAGTCTGCTCTGAGTAAAATCGAGGATCTTGGGAATACTTTTGTGATTCCTGAGGATAAGAAAGAGTGGTATGGTCTCATGCTTGCTTCGCAAACCACGAACAAGGTCGAAAAGAGCGATATCATCCTGATGGATGTTGTAGAAAGTGACATTCGTTCTGACGCTCAAGGAGACACGTCTGATGACGACTTACTGAGGAGTCATGACAACAACGTAGTTCTTTATATTGATGTCTTATGTCGAGTGAGTTGTACAAACTTCTTTTCGAAACTAGCATTCACCGTACTTTGTGCTCGGCAGTTTCTTGAGGGTCTGTTCCAACATACGCAGCATTGCAGAGATTTCATCAAGAATGTTGAGGGCCTCGAGCGTATTGGCAGGCTCACTGCCTTGCCATGCCTTCCATATGATTATGCGAATAGTGTTGTTTCAGACTCTCTAGTACAGGTTATTCGGACGATGGCGGATGTAGAGCCCAATGAGTCACTTCGTCATCTTTCAAAACTTGTGGAGAATTCCCTCTCCGACTCCCAAAGTTTCTGGGCGACTCCTCAGATCCACTCCAAGTTGGCGCCTTTCGTCGATCTTTCAGGTAATCTTCCCCCCATGATGTGACAGCGAGGCTTGCTCAAACATGTTTTAAAGAGGAACAAGAAGGTGCAGCAAATCAACAATTCCGAAGCCTGGTGACCCTTCACATCCGCATTACTGTCTTGGCTGACGTTTTCTCCACTGCTGGTTATGCGCACGGAAGGTCTGCAATAGGACTTCTTCAGATTCTCATGAGCGATCCGCCGAAAGTTGTCAAAGAACTAGGTGCTCTCCACCGTGCATCGGTGTGGGAAAACATCGTGTTCAAGGCAGACATGGTGGCCAAGGGGATGGAAGTGGGTCCGAGCAGTCAGGGATCTCCCCTGGGGAGATCGCCTAGCCATGGTTCGATACCTCTCCCTGAGCCCAATATTGGCGTCATTGCCAATGGTGTTCAGCCGGGATCGGTGTTACCCGCGCAGTCATTGTCACCTGCATCATCGAAGATAGACACGCCGCGAGAGAAGAATGCCAAGGCTCTCAAGCATCTAACGCATGGCCTTCCAAGTGCTTTGGCCCCCTTTTTCCAAGGTTCGTTTTACGGTGCTACCTAAATTTCAAGGCAAATAACTGGATATATTCCCTTAGCCATCGTAAAGTTGTTCTATGCGAGGCGAAATCCTGATGCAACTCAGAAAAAGCAGATTCTATCTGCTTCAGCCACTATTGCAGAGATCATGGTTGAGCATCTAATGTACGAGGTCGAAGGTATTAATGCGCCCTCAAAAATCGATTGTCTGCTCACTGTAACCTTCGTAGGCGATCGAGTCTGTTGTCTAGACTATCACAGCGTCATGATGGGACTTGTGACGATCTTAGTTGTGGATGGTATGTGCTCCTTACTTCTCTTCCTGTACTCGAACTGATGTACTACAGAGCGGACGATGAATACTACTCTCCATACCGTGTTGCTCCTTGCTTTTCAGCGTGCAAAAGGCTTGGAAGCCATCTTCAGAATCTGCAGATGCTTTGCTGACTTGGTCGATGGCGTAACGGCAGTGAGACCTGAAGATCGAACGGAGACTATGCAGCAGGAACTTGCTCATGCGCAGGGAGGGCTAAAGGTTGCATTGAATCTATTGCATCCATTACTCTCTTCAAAGCCGCTCATTGAGTCCGGCCAAACATCACTGGTCACAACTCGGGAAAAAAAAGATACGGAATTCGGTTACTTCGAGCCTCATCACTTCCTTGTCGGGCTTCGCCTCGAGAGCATACCCCTGCTGCGTAGTATCTGGGAAGCTTGTTGGCTTCGTTCATCCCCTTTGACATTGGTCAGATCGGTCGTTCAGATCATGCTCGAGGTAACGGCAGGTGAGAATGAAGAGCTCAAGGGGGATCCTTCCCAGGAAGGTCTCAATAGCGGAACTGGCCCTCCTTCTGGCAGCGGCTTTCATATTAGAGCCGCTGGGCCAGATGAAAATCGTATCCGTCAACTCGTTGATATGGGATTTCCTCGCTCTGCCGCCGAACGTGCTCTTGCCCGCACTCATAATAATGTCAATGCCGCGACCGAGCTACTCCTGAGCCAGCCGTACCCATTTCCCCCTGACCCGCAACCCAACGGATCTGCCGCGGAGCAAGACGAGACAGGTGATGCCCTTGCGGATGGAGGTGACGAGGATCCCTCTGATGAGGAGATGGATGTTGAGGACGCTGCGCCTCCAGCTCCTCCAGCTGAGTCTACCCCGCCTCCCCAATCGACTAGCGAAGAGCAAGGGAAGGGTCTCGACGAATTACGGAAAGATCTTGATGAGGCAAGGGAGAATTTG